AAAACACCACATAATGTGGATGAACTTGGAGGATACTATGCTGAGTGAAATAAGTCAATCACAGAAGGACAAATATTGTATTAGTCTGTTATTGTAAAAAGTCAAGAAAAGGTTTATATATGGGATGAAATTTTCTGTTGGTTACCAGGGGTGGGGGTGGGGGGATGCTGCTAGATAGGTGGAGACCAGTATTGATTTGGGTGAAGGGAAGGGCAGTGTACCAAATGTGAGTGATCAATATGGTGGCACTGAGGAAGAGGAAGACATAGAGAGGTGTATGGGAGGTACAGACAACAAAGATGAACCCTTTTGCACATACAGTTAGTGCATTGTCAGTGATGGCAAACATTGATCTACAGGTAGATAAATGGATGGAAATGCTAAACTATTAGGTATGTCTAGGCAGGGGGGACTGTGCCCATGACCACATATAGGGTTGGCAGACAGTGTTTCTCCAAGTGTATTTGTATGTTCTGTAAGAATTTCTAGGCATATAACAGAACTGACAAGGGACAAAGTTGTGGTCACTTCTTATCCACAGCCAGCTACCCAGAGGGAGCAAGTAGTTGGACTTGTGGGCTTGGGACCATGGTCGCAGAGCACATCAAGCTCAGCATAACATACTACACAAAAACATTTATTCCACATCCTACTTTGGCAAGTAGCGACTGGAATATTAAAAGCTTGCAAGCAGCCATCTAGATATAACGACAGGTCTCCCCTTGTCTAGAGCAAAGAAGAATGAAGAAAACTGAAGACACATGGAAACAAATAGTCCAAAGGGACTGGTACACTATGAGGTCCTCAGCCTATATGACTAGGAGACCAGAAGAACTAGATGGTCCCTGCCTACCACTGTCAACCACTTGGAGGGGTATTTATGTAGGAGATCCTGCATAGAGTAGGAGAACAATGTGGAACAAAAGTCAAAGTCATAAAAAAAAGGGGGAGGACAAGGTTTTCTGGTCTGATAGAGTCTGGTGGAACCCCTGAGACTATGGAACCCAGCTGCCCTTCGGGTCTGGAATTGAACCTACTTCTATGGCTTTCAGCCAAACAAAAGATAGGCATATGAGCCGAACATTTACATCATGTAGATGCACTCCTTGGAGAGATCAATTGTGGAAGAATGGAAGGACTGCATATGCACAGGGAGACAGCTTGGGGGTCAGGAATGCATGGGAGGGAAGAACACAGGGAAGAGGTGGATATGGGAAGGAAGCAGAAGGAGACCTTTTGCATCATGGCAAATTGCAGTCAATGTCACGACACAAAATGTATATGAATTGCTGTATGGAAAATGAATTCGTTCTGTAAACTTTCACCCAAATCACAATGAAATTTTTTTTTTTAAATAAGGAAATTTAAAGAAATGTCTTAGTACTTCCTTCTCCTGTTCTCTAATATAAATAGGCAGAAATGAACACCAAAATTGTATCAGAGAAAAAGGGAAGAGTCAGAATGTTCTGAATCCACAGCCTATGATGGTCAGAAGTAATCTCCAGAGGAAAAAAAAACAAAAAGAATATAACTGTAACTCTTCCCTCTTCCCTGAACCAACTCCAATAGGAAGTTTCACATACCCAGAGAAGCTTGTATGACGTATGTCTCTCCCCTTCTCAATGAAAATGGCTTTAATGTCACAGTTTGTTCCATGATACCTACAGAAAAGGAGGTGTGCACATGAAAACAGTGATTAATTGGACTCTGAGGGACAAGATGACTTAATAAAGGAGTAAGACAGTTCTTTCATTACAGGTTACACCCACACAAGAAAGATACAGGTAAAAATAGGAATGAATTAAATGCACCTGTTCCAAGTTGGGAAATGTTTTTATTTTGTTCTTTAACAGCTTCCTTTAAAAAACTGAAATCTCATCTCTAGGACTCCCCTGTTCAATAGAAATCCTCCTGAGAATGGCCCAGTCATTTGTGGCCAGGCAACAGCATTAATTTCCCAAGCAACAAAAGAATATTGGTAAGACCTTATTTTACATATTTATAACCAGACTGAGTTTTTTCAAGGCCAGAAGCTGACTGTGGAACAGACCATCAACTGCTCATATGCAAGTGCAAGTTGAAGCTAAAAACAATGAAAAGAAGTCCAAGACAGCCAAAATATAATCTTGGTTATATCACACCTGAATTTAGAGACCACCTAAAAAATAGATTTGACACACTGAACATCAATGACCGAAAATGAGAGGAATTGTGGAATTACATCAAGAACATTATACATGAAGAAAGCAAAAGGTCATTAAAAAGACAGGAAAGGAAGAAAAGAACAAAATGGAAGTCAGAGGAGACTCTGAAACTTGCTTTTCAACAGAGAATAGCTAAAGCAAAACAGAAGAAATGACAAAATAAAAGAACTGAACAGAAGATTTCAAAGGAGTTCAAGAAGACAAACTCAATTACTATAATGAAATGTGCGAAGACCTGGAGTTAGAAAACCAAAAGGGAAGAGTATGTTCAGCATTTCTCTAGCTGAAAGAACTGAAAGAAAAATTCAAGCCCTGAGCTAAAATATTGAAAGATTCTATTCTGAAAATATTGAATGATGCAGGAAATATCAAAAGAAGATGTAAGGAATATACAGAGTCACTGTATCAAAAAGAATTGGCCGATGTTCATCCATTTCAGGAGGTGGCATATGATCCAGAAGTGATGGTGCTGAAGGAAGAAGTCAAAGGTGCACTGAAGGAACTGGTGAAAAACAAAGCTCCAGCAATTGATAGAACACTCACTGAAATGTTTCAACAAACAGATGCCACACTGGAGGCACTCATTCGTCTATGCCAAGAAATTTGATGACAGCTACCAGGCCAACTGACTGGATAAGATCCATATTTGTACCCACTCCAAAGAAAGGTGATCCCACAGAATGTGGAAAATATTGAACACTATCATTACTATCACACACAAGCAAAATCTTGCTGAGATAATTCAAAAATGGTTGCAGCAGTATATTGACAGAAAACTTCCTGAAATGGAAGTTGGATTCACAAGAGGATATGGAATGAGGGAAATCACTGCTTATGTCAGATGGATCTTGGCTGAAAGCAAAGAATACCAGAAGGATGTTTACTTGTGTTTTACTGATGATGCAAAAGCATTTGATTGTGTGGATCATAACAAATTATGGATAACACTGAGAAGAATGGGAATTCCAGAACACTTCATTGTTTTCATGAGGACCCTGTACATTGGCTGTCATTAGAACAGAACAAGGGGATACTTCATGGTATAAAAGCAGAGAGGGAGTGCATCAGGGTTGTATCTTTTCATCAGACTTATTCAATCTGTATGCTGAGCAAACAATCCAAGAAGTCTGAATATATGAGTATATTGGCACCAGGATTGGAGGAAGACTCATTAACAACTTGCGATATTCAGATGACACAACCTTGCTTGCTTAAAGTGAACAAGAGTTAAATCATCTACTTGTAACTATTACAGACTTACAGTCTGCAGTATGGATTACACCTCAACACAAAGAAAATGAAAATCCTCATAACTGGACCAATTAGCAGCATCACGATAAATGGAGAAAACAATGAAATTGTCAAAGATTTTTTATTACTTGGTTACACAATCAACAATGGTAGCAGCAGTCAAGAAATCACATGACATATTACATTGGGCAAATCTGCTGCAAAAGACCTCTTTAAAGTGCTGAAGAAGGAAGATGTCACTTTGAAGACTAAGGTGCACCTAACCCAAGACATGGTGTTTTCAGTAGCCTCACATGCATGTGAAACCCGGACAATGAATTAGGAAGACCAAATAAGAGTTAATACTTTTGAGTTGTGGTATTGGTAAAGAATATTGAAAGTACCATGGACTGCCAGAAGAATGAACAAATCTGTCCTGGAGGAAGTACAGCAAGAATGCTTCTTGGAAGTGAGAATGGCCAGACTTCTCACCTATTTTGGTCAAACTGTCAGAAGGGACCATTCCCTGGAGAAGGATATCATCCTTGGTAAAGTGGAGGGTCAGTGAAAAGGGGGAAGGCCTTCAATGAGATGAATTGACACAGTGACTGCAACGATGCGCTCAGGTATAGCAAGGATCATGAGGCTGGCAGAGGACTGTGCAGTGTTTCATTCTGTTTCACATAGGTCTCTATGAGTCAGAGCTGACTTGACAGCACCTAACAACAACAACAATCAGGCTGAATATTTAATTAAGTCATTTTACAAATTTTTTTTATCCATGAAACATGATCCACTTATTTCAAAATAGTATTTAAGTCTTGGTAGGGTATTGGTTATGAAAATATACTTAAATCTGAGTATAAGTATAGACCATAAGATGAATGGATTACTTCCTCAGCAAGTGAAGACTGACCCTGGTCTACCTTTACTACTTTCCCTGAAAATGGGAAAGATCTGACTACAAGACTAATTATCTAAGTAAAGCCAAGTTTTAAAAACCATAATTTTAAAACAGTATTTCCTGGGTTTTGTGAGGCAAGAGTGAGGAGGAAATAATCTATTAACATTGTGAGATCCACAGTCCACAGAGAAGTTTATTGTTATGCTGTTATTGTTATGCTTATATGTGTTACTATTAAAGATGTAGTCCAATAAATTCAACTAAACCTGTGGTGGGTAAAATAGGTTAAGAACTCAGCCCCAATGGAGGAATAGCCATGTTTTGATAAGTACATGCATTTACACTTGACTCTGTTATGCCAAATTCATAACAGAGAAGTGTGCACACAAGGATGTTGAGGTACACTGATCAAATACTGGTTCTCTTGGGCATGCACATGCAGCAGTTGAGTAATGGCTCTTTTCCCCATTACACTTGGACTTGGCATTTCAATCTGCATATATGGAGTTTCTGTAGGTACAGAAGCTAATTCTACCTTTGGTAAAGAGCCTTAGACTCTATGTTATCCATAGAGAAACAAACTCAATTTGAAAAGGTATGAAATATGTAATAAAATAATCTCTAGGAACAATGATTTCAAATATTCATCTATTAAAATAATAACAATTAAAAAAAAAGCTACAGAAGAAGTTGAAGGGCTGGTATCCAAACCAATATGAGACAGGTACAAATACTACCATGCATATGGGATTCATACCTGTTGAGGTATAGCCTTGGAAAATAGCTGGGCTAATCAGGGACTTGGGCCAGTCAATCATCAGTGAAGGCACAGCATTGTCTGTGGAGTGGAATGGACTGACGAGGTTATCTCCATCACTGGGGCTTTTGTCATCACTTCTACTTGATTCTGATTCAGGAAAGTTGATACTGTTCCCTGAAAAGATAAATCAAGCCAGTGGATAACAAAGAAAAAAATTCATAATACACTTCTTAAATTAGTAATGATTTAAAAATGATACAAATCACTACTTCTACTCTTGGCAGATACCACATATTTAAAATAGTATCTTTAGAAATTAATTATATTCAAGAGATATACTTTGTTATAATACAATTAGTAGTGAAATTGAATATTCTTTCCTTTATTTATTCAACAAATATTTATTGTGGTCTACTTTAGGAGCTCTGGTACCGTAGTGCCTAAAGGCACTTGACTACTAACCAGAAGGCTGGCGGTTCAAACCCACCAGCCACTCCTCGGAAGGAAGGTGGGGCAATACACTTCCACAGTGAAACCCAAGGAGGGGTCGCTATGAGTCAGGTCCGACTTGACGGCACATAAAAACAACAACAACAACAAGCCCTAAGTTCTATTCTAAAACTTGGAGCTAGCTACAGCTACAGCAGTGAATCATATCAACAGAGTCTCTGATATCTGAAATTTACTACACAGGGAGTCAGAAACCACTTACATAAATAACATGAAGTCAAGTAATGATGACTAACATGAAGATGAATAAGGAGGGTATATGTAGAAAATGATGGGCCTGAAAGGGGGTGTTGAAGAAAGCTCTCCCTGAGGACATCTTCTAAGCAGAAATTTGATGGAGCTATTTGAAGTTCTGTATAATGCAAATTCCTGGTTGGGCAAAAATAAATTGTTATGGGAATGGTCTTCTGTTTTGTGGATAGGAGTGTTAGTAAGGGGAAAATAGTGGAAAATGAGTTTGAAAATCTCTAAAGGCCAATGTCGGGCCATAGCCATAGGTGTTTTTCCTTAGTGTAAAGGAAAGCCCTTGGAGGATTGGTGTAAGAGAGTAACAATCTGCTTGAGCTCCAAAAGTAACTCTGGCTGTGGTGCTGTAAAATAACTTCAGAGGTTACAGGAAAAGATGGAGGGAGGCCTTCCAGAGAGGTGATCACTGATTCAGACCCCAAAGGAGGAAGCTCACCAGGCAGACAATGAAAGGGGCATTCTAGGCAGAGGAGTCTGTGAAGTAAGTCATGAAACAGGGAGAGTGCTCACCTATGGGCCTGGAACTGCAGTCAGGTTTTGAAGTACGGAGTATAGGATGTACAGAAACAAGTGAACTAGGAATATATGTTTGGGTCAAGTTGTACCAGGAATGAGTTTGTACTTTTTGCTTTGACTCTGGGGAGCTGTCAGTGGAAGTCTGGGTTCCAGAAAAGAGGAAGAAAGATAAATAAGAGTGAAGGAATAATGGACACAGGGGGCTAAAGAAAGAGGTAGCAATCAGAATCACAGTCACCTGGTTGTCTTCCTTCTGAGGGTATTGCTTCTTGTATGTCATCATAGTAGGCTTCAAAATCTATGTAAATGGGAAAAATTATAATGTTTCATTTAAAATCACAGAATCCACTGAAATTAATGCTGACTCTCCTGACAGACCAAACCCTTAGCTACTGATATATTTCTAGAGTCTGCATATTACTTTGTAGATTACAAAACACTCTCGAATATAGTAGTTCACTTAATCATCATAACTGCTGAGTGAGGTAGATGTCACTGTCTCTGTACCCCTAAGAAAAAGCTAGAATTCCTAGTTGTTATGTTGTTAGGTGCTGCTGAGTCAGCTCTAATTCACAGCAACTCTATGTGCAACAGAATGAAACAATGCCCGGTCCTGTGCCATCCTCACAATCATGGCTATACTTCATCTCACCCTTGCATCTACTGTGTCAATCCATCTCATTGAAGATCCTCCCCTTCTTCATGGACTCTCTAATTTACCAAGCATGAACTCCTTCTCCAGGGAATGGAGAATGTTTTCCCTTCTGAAAACATGACCAAAGTAGGTGAGACTACTTCCTCACTTCCTAGGAGCATTCTTGTTGCACTTCCTCCAGGACAGATTTGTCCATTTTTCTGGCAATCCATGGTATTTTCAGTATTCTTCTCCAACACCACAATTCAAAGGCATCAACTCTTCTCCAGTCTTCCTTATTCACTGTCCAGCTTCCACATGTACATGAGATGATTAAAAATACCATGGCTTGGGTTTGGCACACTTTAGTCTTCCCAGTGACAACTTTGCTTTTCAACACTTTAAAGAGGTCTTTTGCAGCAGATTTGCCAAGCGCAATATATCTGATTTCATGACTGCTGCTGCCATGGGTGTTGGCTGTGGATCCAAGTAAAATGAAATCCCAACAAATTCAAACTTTTCTCAATTTATCATGATGTTGCTTATTGGTCCATTGGTCCAAGATTTGTTTTCTTTATGTTGAGGTGTACTTCATACTGAAGACTGTAGTCTTTGACCTTCATCAGTAAGTGCTTCAAGTCCTCTTCATATTCAGCAAGCAAGGTTGTCTCATCTGCATATCACAGGTTGTTAATAGTTCTTCCTCCAAACCTGAGGTGCGTTCTTTTTCATATACCCCACCTTCTCAGATTATTTGCTGAGCACACATATTGAATAAGTATGGTGAAAGGACACAACCCTGACACACTTCCTTCCTGATTTCAAACCATTCAGTATCACCTTCTTCTGTCTGAACAGCAGTCTCTTGGCCTATGTTCAGGTTCCACATGAGAACAATTAAGTGTTCTGAAATTCCCAGTCTTCTCAATGTTATCCATAATGTGTTATGATCCACATAGTGAATCCCTTTGCATAGTCAATAAAACACAAGTAAACATCTTTCTGGTATTCTTTGCTTTCAGCCAAGATATATTTGACGTCAGCAGTGATATCCCTCATTCCACATCCTCTTTGGAATCCACCTGACATTTCTGGAAGTTCCCTATCAATATACTGCTGCAACCATTTTTAAATTATTTTCAGCAAGATTTTACTTATGTGATATTAATGATACTGTTTGATAATGTCCACATTCTGTTGGATAACCTTTCTTTGGAATGGGTACAAATGTGGATCTCCTCCAGTCAGTTGGCCAGGCAGTTGCTTCCAAATTTCTTGACATAAATGAGTAAATACCTCCAGTGCTGCATCTGGAACCTTATTTTTGCCACTTCTTTCAGTGCAGCTTGGGCTGCTTCCTTCAATACCAATGGATCTTGATAATATGCTACATCCTGAAATAGTTAGACATCAACCAATTCGTTTTGATACAGTGACTGTGTAATCCTTCCATCCTCCTTTGATGCTTCCATTCATTGTTCAATATTTTGCCCATAGAATCTTTCAGTATTACAACTCAAGGCTTGAATTTTTTTCTTTAGTTCTTTTTTTCTTTAGTTCTTTCAGTTTGAGAAATGCTGAGCATGTTCTTCCTTTTGATACTCTAATCTTCTGTTTAGTTCTTTTATTTCAGCATTTCTTCCATTTGGTTTAGCTACTCTCCTTTCAAGAGCAAGTTTCAGAGACTCTTCTGACATCCATTTTGTTTTGATTTTCCTTTCCTGTCTTTTTATTGACCATTTGTTTCCTTCATGTATGATGCTCTTGATGTCATCCCACAATTTGTCTGGTCTTTGGTCACTGGGATATAATCAAAGTAATATTTTGGCTCTTGTGGACTTATATTAATTTTCTTCAGTTTCAACTTGTCCTTGCATATGAGCAGTTGATGGTCTGTTCCAGTCAGCCCCTAGTCTTGTTTTGTCTGATGATTTTGAGCTTCTCTATCACCTCTTTCCACAGATGTGGTCAGTCTGATTTCTGTGCGCTCCATCTGGCAAGGTCCATTTGTATAGCCACTGTTTGTGTTGTTGAAAAAAGGTATTTGCAATGAATAAGTAATTGGTCTTGCAAAATTCTGTCATGCTCTGGTGGCATTTCTATCACCAAGGTCATATTTTCGAACTACTAATGATTCTTCTTTGTTTCCAACTTTGACATTCCAATCACTAATAATTATCGATACATCTTGATTCCATGTTTGATCACTTTCAGACTGCAGAAGTTGGTAAAAAATCTTTAATTTCTTCATCTTTTGCTTTGGTGGTTGGTGTATAAATCATAATAATAGTAGTATTAACTAGTCTTCATTGTAGGCATATGGATATTCCCCTATCACTGACAGCATTGTACTTCAGGACAGATTTTTAGATGTTCTTTTTGACAATGAATGCAATACCATTTCTCTTCAATTTGGCATTCCCAGCATAGTAGATCATATGATTGTCTGATTTAAAATGGTCAGTATCAGTCCTCTTCAGCTCACATGCCTTGGACAAGGAGCTCTGGTGGTGTACTGGTTAAAGCACTTGGCTGTTAACCAAAAGCCAGTGATTCAAACCCATCAGCTGATCCACAGAAGAAAAACAAGGCAATCTGCTTCTGTAATTATTTACAACCATGGAAACCCAGTTGAGGGTCACTATGAGTTAGAACTGACTCGATGGCAGTGATTCATTGTTTAATGTCTAGGTATTTCATTTTCAATCACTTCTGGTTTTACGATATTCATCCTTCATACATTCCACATTCTGATTATTAATGGATATTTGCAGTTGTTTCCTCCCATTTTGAGTCATGCCCCATCAGCAAATGAAGGTCTTGAAAGCTTTACTCCATCCATGTCATAAAGGTCTGCTCTATTTTGGGGAGGCAGCTCTTCCCCAATCATATTTTGAGTGCCTTCCAACCTGAGGGGCACATCTTCAGACACTGTATCAGACAAGGTTTCACAGCTTTTTGTAGTGTTTTCCTGTAATATATCAGACAGTGTTTCACTGCTATTCATAAGGTTTTCAGTGGCCAATATTTTCAGAAGTGGATGGGCCCATCCTTCCCAGTCCATCTTAGTCTGGAAGCTCTGCTGAAACCTGTCCACTACGGGTGACATTGCTGGTATTTGAAATACCAGTGGCAGAGCCTCCGGCCTCACAGCAGTACATAAGCCACCACACTACAATAAACTGACAGACAAACTGGTAGAGAGGTCCTAGCAGATGTGTAGTTTTCTAAAATAGCCCAGTTAGTAAGTAAGAGAACTAAACTACAAACTGAGCTCTTTTCCCTCCAGGCCCAGCATTCTTGCCTCTGTTTAGTATGTTTTTCACTGTTCTTTCAGAGAACACTTCTCACTTCTTCTCTTAGCAGGAGAGAAACAGATGCAAGAGCATTCTACTGCAAATGCCGCGTTTCTGTCCCCTAAGCCTTCCCTTACAAAGGTTGACATGTTCACAAAGTTCCCATCTACCAGCTAACCTCAGCAGGGAGACTCGAGTTCAGCAGCATTTGCAGGGCACACAGGACAAAGAAGGCACTGCTGACTGAGTGAGCAGCAAAATATTATGGACTCGCTGAGTTAGGAATATCAAAGAAAAAAGCAGCTGAACTTTTTTCTCTTGATTTTTAAGCACAGAATAGTTTCCATTCAACCTAAAAACCAGTGGCGAATGATGATAAAGTGATTATCGATAATCAATTAATTATTAGGGCAGGAGAGAGGAATGAGGAAACTAATATTTATTCAACACTTACTATGGCCTGGATATGATACTTATGAGATCTCACTTCCGTCTCAGAGCCTACTACAGTGGGTACCATTATTTTCCCAATTTAGAAACGAAGAATCTGAGACTCAGACTTGCACGCATTAGCAGGTGATGTACAAACTTGGTACTCTCCAATTTAAAGGCTTGTGTTGTGGTTTCACACCTATACTATCACACTCATTCTTTCCAAAGGAAACTTTGGTGCACAGACAAAACAATATGTATGTTATTAGTAAGACAGAGGTGATTACCAGAGAGGAAGGAGGACAGATTCTGTGTGGGCAAACTTCTTGATGGCCTCTTTCCCTCCCTAGGCCCCGTCACTGGAGATACTGGTTTCAATAATCCTTACTCTGGGGACAGTGTTGCTTCCCCACAAGCATCCTGTTGGGCTGAAGCATCAGCAATAGCATCAAAAACCTGATGGACACCCATGGCAGACACCTGGGAGTGTCTCCCCATGGTTGAAGGGGCATACTTGCCAGTTGCATTCTGCAGAGGATCCAGAGACAGTGCTGTAGTTGCTAAACATGAGTCTGCTGTGTTTGGCTCCACCAAAAGTGGATTTGACTCTGATAACTTCAAAATGGCACCAAATCTTGAGGAGTCCAGCAGTTCCACTGCTGTACAAAAAGGAGCTTAAACAAACATTTAACAACAATAAAATTTTGGACCAAAAAAAATAATATTATTTTTAAAAATCTATAAATTTTATATACATACTCTGTTTTAAGCAAATATGACATAATTTGAAATCTACACTTATAAGCTAAGTAATACCTGCAGTAGAGCTATGGTTTCCATCTGGTAGTATATGGACTAACAATGGCATATAAAACATGTACAAATTGGACCCAGGAATTATACAACCATTTTACCTGGAATTTTCTCTCTCTCAGTCCCTGTATTGCTCTAATAGGCTGGCCTGCCAAATGTTCTGAAAGTCTGGCATGGATTATTCATATGTATTTTGAAAAAATCTTGGGCACACAGGGTTTTTCTTAATCCCCACTCACCTACATGTCAGTATCTAGAGCAACAATTCTAAAAATTATTGTTCTTAGAATTTATAACAAAGAATCAATAATAACAAAGGCAACATTTTTTTGGAAGTGAAAATGATGTGTCAATAAAGTAAGCCGTTAGTTTCTACCATGGAAAATATATTATTACAAGATATATATTGTATGATATACAAGAATGAGGATGAGAAACATTCATCTAGGTGTAATTATTCACTTTGCTGTAAGTTTAGCTACTAGGTATGTTTCTATTGCAAGCTTCTCTGATGCATTTGGTAAGGGATTTGATTTGGAAAAAAAAATAAATTTACCTAAAAGAATTTAGGAATCCCTTTCTAGTAAAGAAAGGCATAACTGTACTCTATGACCTCACATCCCTTTAACCACTGAGACCCACTGTATTCAGAACTCTGCTTATAGGAGCTTTTGTATGGCCCCATTGAAAGGATCAAAAATTAAGATTAGAAGCTCAGTTAAGGCATGGTAGATAGAAGCTTTTGCTGAAAGAACTCACCATCCAGCTTAGAAATGAAAGCTTATTTGTGTACCTCTCTTATTATAAGCATCATTTCACTCATCTGAATGAAAACTCAACCTCACACCTGGTTTAAGCCTAGATATCACACAACCCCTAGAGACCAATCATTATTCTACCAGTGAGTGCCAGCAGGTTTTTACACCTTATTTTATTTAACCCTACCACCATCCTGTGAAGTATTGTGCTCTTCACTTTTCACTTTTCAAGGAAAATGAGTCATAGAGAATTGTTTAAAGTAAGGCTGAGCCAGGACTGGCCAGGGTCTTTTGACTCTAGCTTCTCTGCATGTTCCCTCAAACAAAACTGTCCTAAAGAGTAAGCAAAGTCATGAAGAGACCTCGACCTCTAGAACAGTACATTAAAGCACTTGCCATTTGAAAGAACTTCTTTGTTTTAAAGCCAATGAGACTGTCAAAATCAATATGGGATTCAGCCTCCCACATACCAACAAGGGTTAGAAACAGCATCTGAATCATGCATATTTCCTGCTGCTATCACAGCAATCCACATAAGTGTAATAACAAGTGGACCAAGGGAACCACAGTAAGTTAGTGGTGATGATAAGATACACTTCATTCAGACTTAACTGAATGTTGCAGAGTTTAAGCAATCTCAAAATAAGCTTGATATTTTTCCTGCAGTCAACAAAATAAAACAAGCAACTTTACCTTCTATACTATTCTGTTCTGTTGCATTGACTAAAAAGAGGTCCCAGGAATAAGAGAGATTATGCATATCTCCACAGTCTTCGCACATAGCTTGAAGAGAAAGTTCTTCATTCCAGTTAACAAAGCTGTTTTTAAAGTTGATGCGGGAAATATGGATGAATCTAGAACATCCAAATCAGGTTTGAGATTTAAGGAAAACCACATTAGGGTTATTTGTCCATATTCTCTTATACTCATTGTCATAGAGTCTATTCCAGCTCATGGTAATCCCATGTGTGACACAATAGAACTATTTCCTGGGGTTTTCTTGGCTGTAATCTTTACGGAAGCAGATAATTAGGGCTTTCTTCCACAGAGCCGCTGGGTGGGTTAGTAGTTGAGCACTTAACCATTTGTGCCACCCATGGGCCTCATATTAGTATGTTTAAATTGCCCTATGTTGGATATTTATTACATGAATTAAATAGCAATACCATGGATGACAGTATTGAGCTCTTATGGTGTGTCCAGCCCCAAGCCAAGCTTAGCACAGCATAATCTCATCCAAGACCATGAGATCCTTTGAGAAAAATGCACTAATACTCATCTCCCCTTTGCAGAAAGCACTGAGGTTCAGAGGGACCGTGTGATTTTTCTTCAGGCCCACAGAGGCAGGGAGAGAACCAGGACTGGGCCCTAGTCTGATTCACTCCTCAGCCTTCATTCTGCCTGAGTTCTGACAGAACAGAGGCTGCTCAGTCCATGTCTCTTCACACCTCTGGTCTTCCTTTGATGCCTCAGCCTGCCTGTGTGTTGATGCCAATTACCCTCACCCAAGCCTTTCACCTCACATCCACATTAGCCAGACATGCCCATGCTGATTGGATCCAGCAGTGAAGGGAGATACCATTCCCCCACATTTCCTGCTCCCCTGTACTCAGTGCTCCCCTCTCATCACACAACCCTGTGTTCACTCTCCTCTGCTTCCCAACTAGTGTTTTTACTCTATTTTGCTAACCTAACATATTCCATGCTGCATTTTGTGAAATATTTTCTTCAGGATATCATACTGTGCTTTGGCAAAACTAAAAATATTTCTTTCCTGTAGGACTTGTGGAACCTATACAATGTCAAGGTTGATGGAGAATGAGTGGGTATGTAGTGTGTAGCATTTCCCATGAGAGCTTGACACAGTGCACCAGTAACATGTTTTCTCAAACCTCTGCCATTGGGTCACAGGTCCTGGCAGATGAGACCCAAGAGGGTCCCTGCAGAACACAGTAGCTGCAAAGGGCCTGGCATATGCTAACTGTGTATGTGATTGTGAGTATGTATGTGAGAGAATGTGTATGAGTGTGCATATGTATGTGAATGTGTATGTGTCCAGTGTGTATGCATGTGGGTATGTGTGAGTGAATCTGAGTATGTGGGTGTGAGAGGTGTGTGAGTGTATGAGTGTGTATGTGTGTGCATGTGGGTGTGAGTGGGTCTAAGGATATGAGTGTATAAGGGAGTATGTGTGTGAATATGTATGAATGAGTATATGAGAGTGTAAGTATGTATGAATGCATGCGTGTATGTGAGAGTGTTTGTGTGCAGTGTGTGGTAGGGGTGGATGGCATGGTCCCAGATCTCACAGGGACATTGTAAGTATAGGTCCAAATATTTCCTAACAGGTTGAAAGGAGATATTCATTCAACTTTAGTACTTGATGAATGAACATTTTAAAATACATTCTGTAATTCTGTTGTAAATAGCATAATTATATAATACATTGTATTTTGGGAATAAAAATTTTTAACTTGTTTGATGTAATGATTTGTTTAGATTATGCCCCAATTTTTATAATCCTCCTTTTGGCTTTTCTCCATTTTTAATATAACAAAAAATAAAAAACAAACTCACTGTCATCAAGTCAGTTCCAACTCATAGTGACCCCTCCTTGGGTTTCAGGGGTGGTATCTCTATGGAAGTAGATTGCTCAGTCTTCCTTCTGAGGAGTGGCTGGTGGGTTTGAACTGCCAGCCTACTAGTTAGCAGTCAAATGTCTTAGAAACTACACCACCATAAAAAGCAAATGACAGTGGCCTGGGTCTTTCTGGACTTCTGAAAAGAGCTGCAAGAGATTTTGAAGCCCAACATTTGGGGTCCACTTCAAAACTGAAACCCTGAATTCAAGTTCTTCTATGGTCCTTCTGAGCCCTGAGGCACTTTCTGCCCTTTTCACCTCTGATCTCCTTGGGTCTCTGAATCCTAGTCACCTGTGAAGCACAAGTTTGCTTCCTCTTTCAGGAAGCCCTCGGAAATTCACTCAGTCCCTAAGTCACCACATGTTATTTTTACTCCCCTTGCAGAGGTCTAGTTACAGGAACAAGCCTTGTCTGCCTAGGCAGCCACCCAGGCACCACACAGATCTGGGTGCAAGGCCAGTAAGAATACCATTGCCCAAAGCTTGCCCTCCTCGAACACCAGAAGGCAAAGCACAGGAGCAACAACGCTCAGTAACTGCCCAGCTCTTGGATTCCATGACCCAATCCCCTCGGAGGGAAAAACTGATATGCAGCTGCAACTCACCCCATCTTCATGCTGTCTCCAGTTCTGATATCCTTTGTTCAGCACCTGTGAACTGACGTGACCCTGAGCTACTTGGCTTCTGTGTTGCCAGTTTTTCGGATTAGTTGGTTTTATTTTATTTTTTTAAATCAAGGCATTCCTTTTGCCCCCTCTACACTCAGTCTCAGATGACAGTGGTGTCTCTGCCCTGATACACCAGGCTGATGAGTGGGCTGCTGTGTCCCTCTGGCCCCTGCAGATGTTGTGCAGTTTCAGGGGCATGTGCTTTCATCTCTCTGTACTGACCATGCCCATCACCACCACCCACCCAGTTCCCACTCTAGGACTACCTGCATGTAGGCTCTGTGCCCATAACTGCTCTGATCACTGGACGCTGTGCAGAGTTCAGCTATGAGCAGCCATCCCCTCCTCATAGGTTAGGGACTCTGGGTGCTAATTTCACCCTAAACTCCACATCCTGCCCCAGATTTCCTCTATTGTTCCAAACACTGACAGGAGCCATATGGGGGAAGATATCTGTGGAGCTGAATGGACAGGCAGGTGGCACCTGATTGTCAGCTTGGAGCGGAGGGAGAGGAACACCTGTGCTTCGGTAGAGGTCCTGCTGCCACTGGACACCGTCAGTGTCACCACGAACTGGTCGTAGCCATCACTGAGATCTGTTGCTGCAAAGGAGATTATCTGTGCCTTGGAATTCAGCCCAGTTGGTGCAGGAACATCAAAACATGGGTGCCCAGGGGCCCCGGTGGGAGCACACCTCCAGTGATATCTGGGAGGAAGGAAGCCCGAGAAGAGCACCTGAGTCTGGGGCCACTGTGTCTCATCCTACAGCTGTCCTAGGGGCCCCAAAGGGTGACTGTGGGTCAGGAAGATATGGTCTTTCTCTTATTCTATAAAGTAATGGAGGAGAGAAACTTCAGAAGTGGGAGAAGCATGGCCATTGGGCTTGGCTCCCAACTGACTCATATCACAAAGGTCCCCTAACACCTAGCAGATCCTTGATTTGGTTTCCCCAAGGTTTCCATTCCCCTCATGGGTACCCCCAGCCCCTGCATTTTATCATTTTAGCCCATGTCAGTCCTGTGCTTTAAGTTACTGCTTAAAACACAGACTGCTTCTCCTGCTCCTGAGGACTGGGACCCCTCCTATTCATAATTCTGCCCCTTTCATATAACCCAGACACTAAATTGCCTTATAAGTACAGACATTTAACACTCCTCACAATCTTATGTGATAGGCAGAGGATGGTATGTGTTAATACTTCAATTTGCAGAATTAAGTAGCTTTTGGAGAGTTGTGGGGAGTAGTTCTAGTCTTAGAGCAAGAAAGTAACTGAGCCAGAATATGAATGCCAGGAATCTTTCCTCCCAACCTCAAAACAGGGCTGCAACATCACAGTTGATTCATTCAACAAATATATTCATATCTACTCTAAGCCAAGCAAGAACTCAGAATGTCCACAACATTGAGCAGGTCTTAATTTAGTGAGACACACCCATTGCAATGTCACATGTAATGTGACAGATGCTGTAGCAGAAACAGATGTGGTGGCTGTGCAATGCCAGGGAGCTCTTGCAGTCATTGATACACTTAAAAAAAAAAAAAAGTAATATTTTGGTAGGAATCTCACACAAATGATGCTGAATTACAAAGCCTTAATTTGGAGAAAGAGGAGGATGTAGATAAAGGTGAGTGCTGGGGAAGTGGCCACACAGTATCTGTGGTGCTCACCTGAGAGGTATGCCTGGATTGTCAGGGTCATAGGACTGCGACCCACTGAGGCTGATGGTAGAAGTGGGGGTTTTGGGGACAAAGAGGTGTGTGCCTTCTGAGACCACACTGACAGGGGCCCTCATTCGAACATCCACCCCCACTGAGTAGGTGCTGTACACCACACTGCCTTCAACTTGAACCTGTAACATAAATGATAGGACAGTCACATGGGGGTTGTATAGACAACAAAGATGAACCCTTTCACACATAAAATACTGCATTGTCAGTGAAGGCAAACATGGGTATACAGATGGATAGCTGGGTGGGCAGGCTGAACTATTAGGTATGTCTATGAAGCGGGAGTGTACCCAAGACCATGTATAGGGTTGGCAGACAACAGTCCTAGAAGTGTATTGTATGATCTGAATTCCCAGGTGTATAGTAGAGCTGACAAGGGACAAGGTTGTAGTCATTTCTTGGTCACAGCCAGCTACCCAGAGGGACAGAGTAGTTGAACCCGTGGGCTCAGGAGCATAGTCACGGGGGACATCAAGCTCAATTGGCATAATATACTACACAAAACATTGTTCCACCTCCTACTTTGGCGAATAGCAACTGGGATCTTAAAAGCTTGCAAGCAGCCATCTAGATGCAGTGATGGGTCTCTCCTCATGCAGAGCAAAGAAGAATGAAGAAAACCAAAGATTCATGGAATCAATAAGTCCTAGCAACTGGTACACCATGCAATCCGCAGCCTATATGACTATGAGACCAGAAGAACTAGATGGTGCCCAGCTACCACTGTAAACCACTCGGAGAGGGATCAATGTAGGAGATCCTGGATAGAGAGGGAGGACAATGTGGAACAAAACTCAAAATCATTTGGAAAAATAAAAGAATTGTGAAACATTATATCAAGCCTGAATTTATATGTTTATATTTATATATATAAACCCACTGCCATGAAGTTGATTCTGACTTTTAGTCAGAATCATTAGGACAGGGTAGAACTGCCCCCCAGAGTTTCTAGAGCTGTAACTCATTATGAAAAAGTCTGCCTCATCTTTTGTCCACAGAGCAGTTGGTTGGTTTGAACCATTAACCATCTGGTTGGCAGTTGAATGCCTTAATCATTGTGCCACCAAAGTTTCTTTATATGTATATATAGAAATAGCTCAAACTCTAACTTCCATTGAACTGATTCTGACTCAGAGCAACCCCCTTTGGGTTTTCGAGGTGGTAATCTTTATGGAAGTAGATTGCACCATGTTCCTTCCATGGAGAAACTGGTAGGTTTGAACTACCAATCTCTGGTTAGCAGTCAAATGCCATAGGCACCATGCCATTTGTGACTGGGTCTCAGTCTCAGTCTCGGTCACTCTTCCTAAGGGTATATATGACTCTCAACTGGTCAATCTCTAAGCAGGACCTGCAGACAGCTGAAGAACTCAGATCAAAACTGTAATTTCCATTTCCAATCTTTGCTTCCTCTGAGGTTTCAGTCCAATGGGAAAGCGTTGCACATCTGCATAGGGACGTGCTAGTCACAGGTGGCAGTGATGGTCATAAGCCTTGGAAAGCTGAGTGTTGACTATAAATATAACACCTGGAGATGAGATAGCAGCAAATAACTGACTCAAATATCTATACAGAAATTCTCCCTGGTGGGAAGCTAGGATGCTGAACAGTTTTCAGCAGAGCTTCCAGACTAAGATGGACTAGGAAGAAAGGCCTGCTGGTCTACTTCAGAAAATCAGTCAGTGAAAACCCTAAAGATCATTACGGTGTTATCTGCAACTGATCATGGGGATGGCACAAAACCAGGTAGTATTTTGTCCCATTATGCGTGGGGTTCTATGCATCAGGGCCAACTCCATTGTTAGCTAACTTGTTGTTACCCATCTACCTCCCCAACCAGGCTGTGCGTTCAAGTGTGTCAAGACTATACCTTATTTGTCCTCCCATCACCACAGTGTCTAGCACACAGCCAGATACAAACAGGCACTCTGCTTCATTAGACAAATGGAGCAGCATCCCTCCTCCATTTACTCAGTCTCCAGATTTCCTTTGAATTTACCTCTGGTTCCCTACAATCAATTAATCAGTCACTTTGGTAAGTCACTTGCTTACCCCCAAATCCACTGTATATTTGTCCTATTCTGCTCTCTAGTCCCATTGTTATTGTGTTTCAGCCTCCAGTTATTTACTGGCATTGCTATTAAAATATTCCCCCATCATCCTATACTTCTGTCTATTTCCAACTGCTTCCCAATTGATATTTCCAAAGTATAGCACACATTTTGCTCTAAAATCTGTTTTTTTCCTATTATCTGCATTGAAAACAGTGGTCCTTTGAACAGAGAATCAAAAATAGCAAATAACAACCGACCATTAATACACAAGATGATATAACCCAGAAACCATAGCTATGGGTATATCCAAAGTAAAATAAGCTTAAAAGATTGTAAACAGGGACATCATTTGGCAAGTGAGGACAACTACAAACAAAAAGAGGGAAAAGACTGTGTAGTTACAGAACTTCTAAATGGTGTGGAAGTCAAGAGAGTTGTAAGACAGAATGGACTGTTCTAATCTTGGGTAGAAAATTATAAATCACAGGGTGACCACAAAGAAAAATGATAAACCTTCATATCACAATAAAGAAGAGGACAAGCACAAATACTCAGCAAATAATAAAACAACAGCAACAAAATAAATGATAACAGAATTCATAAACATAATGAGCTCAGCACAGAAAATAATATGGAACAAGGAAACCAGGGACACCATGAAAAAACACTTAACAGAATGACAGCAACAAATTCATACTTCTCAATAATTACATTGAATGTTAATTGATTAACTGCACCACTCAAGAGACGGAGAGTTAAAGACTGGAAAAGAAAACAAAACCCATCAATATGCTGTCTATGAGAGACACACCTTAGACACAAAGACAAAAATGGACTAAAAATCAAAGGTTGGAAAAAGATATATCAAGCAAATGGCAACTTTAACAGAGCAGGAGTGGCAATATTAATTTCTGATCAAATTGACTTTAAGACAAAAACCACCATATGAGACAAGGAAGGATATTATATAATGATTAAAGAATCAATTGAACAAGAAGATACAACCATAATAAATATCTATGGACCCAATGAAAGAACCCCAAAATACATAAATCAGACTTTAAAAGAGTGGAAAAGTCAAATAGATGACTCCACAGTCATAGTGGCAGACTTTAATATACCACTTTCAATGAAAGATAAAACAACTGGAAAAAAACTCAACAAAGATGCAGAAGAGCTAAACAATACAATTCACCAACTTGACCTTATAGACATCTACAGAGCACTTCACCCAACTGCAGCATAATATACATTCTTTACCAGTGCACATGGAACATTCTGATGATAGACCATATGATAGGCCATAAAGCAAGCCTTAATAAATTTAAAAACATCAAAATACTGCAAAGCATCTTTCTCAGATCATAATGCTATCAAAGTAGAAATCAACAATAGGAAGATCAATAGAAAAAGAGTAAACACATGCAAACTGAACAACACCTTCCTTGAGAAAGACTAGGTAAGGGAAGAAATAAAAATTGAAATTCAAGAACTTGAATCAAACGAGAATGAAAACACAACATACCATATCTTTGGGACACAGAAAAAGCAGTGATCAGAGGCCAATTTATAGCAATAAATGCACACATCAAAAAAGAAGAAAGAGCCAAAATCAACAATAAAAACCAACATCTCCAACAATTAGAAATTAGAAAAAGAACAGCAAGAAATGCCTAGAGACAGCAGAAGAAAGGAAATAATCAAGATGAGCAGAAATCAATGAAACAGAAAATGGAAGGGCTATAGAAAAAATCAACAAGACTAGAAGTTGGTTTTTTGAAAAGATCAATAAAATTGACAAACTACTGGCTAATTTAACAAAGGAAGAAAGGGAGAGGATATAAATAAAATGAATAAGAAATTAAATGGGTGACATCACAACAGAACCAACTGAAATAAAAAGGATAATATTAGGATACTATGAAGAACTCTACTCCAACAAATTTGAAAATCTGGAAGAAATGGACAGATTTCTAGAAACACACCAACTACCTAACATGGACTGATGTGGAAAAGTTGAACAGAACCATAACAAAAGAGGAAACTGAACAGGTCATCAAAAAATTACCAACTAAAAAAGTCCTGGCCCAGACAGTTTCACTGGAGAATGCTACCAAACGTTCAGAGAGGACCTGACACAATTCCTACTCAAACTATTCCAAAACATAGAAAAGGATGGAATCCTCCCTAACTCATTTTAGGAAGCAAGCATAACTGTCATACCAAAACCAGGCAAAGACATCACTCAAAAGGAAATCTACAGACCAATATCCCTCATGAATATAGATGCAAAAATCTTCAATAAAACCCTAGCCTATATTCCAACAACATATCAAGAAAATCATTCATCATGACCAGGTGGGGTTCATATCAGGTATGCAAGGATGGTTTAACATTAGAAAAACAATCAACGTCATCCACTACATAAATAAAACAAAGGAGAAGAATCCCATGATCATATCAATTGATGCAGAAAAGGCATTTGATAAAATCCAACACCCATTCCTGATCAAAACTCTCAGCAAAATAGGAATAGAAGGGACATTCCTCAACATAATAAAGGGCATCTACACAAAACCAACAGCCAACATTATTCTCAATGGAGAGAGACTGAAACCATTCCTCCTGCAAACAGGAACTAGACAAGGATGCCCTCTATCACCACTTCTATTCAACATTGTACTGGAAGTCCTAGTCAGGGCCATATGACAAGAAAAAGAAATCAAAGGCATCCAAATTGGTAAGGAAGAAGTCAAGCTATCACTATTTGCTGATGATATGATCCTATACCTAGAAAATCCAAGAGACTCAACCAAAAATCTACTGGAACTAATTGAGAGATTTAGCATCATGGCAGGATACAAGATCAACACCCCAAAATCAGTTGGATTCCTCTACACCAGCAAAGAGATTGCTGAAAAGGAAATAAGGAAATCAAAACCATTTATAATAGCTACCAAAAAAATAAAATACTGGGAATAAATCTTACCAGGGACACAAAAGACCTGTACAAAGAAAACTATAAAAACCTACTTCAAGAAACCATAAGAGACCTACATAAATGGAAGAACATACCATGCTCATGGATAGGAAGATTGAACATTGTGAAAATGTCAATTTCACCCAAAGCAATCTATACCTTCAATGCAATCCCAATCCAGATCCTATCAACATGTTTTAAGGATATGGAAAAACCAATTACTAACTTTATATGGAAAGGAAAAAGACCTCGGATAAGCAAAGCATTATTGAAGAAGAAGAACAAAGTAGGAGGTCTCACGCTGCTGGATGTCCAAACCTACTATACAGTCACAATAGTCAAAACTGCCTGGTATTGGTATAATGATAGACACATAGACCAAAGGAATAGAATTGAGAACCCAGAAATAGATTCATTGACCTATGGTCAGCTGATCTTTGACAAAGGGCCGAAATCCATTAAATGGGGAAGAAAATGTTTGTTTAATAAATGTGGCAAAACTGGATATCCATTTGCAGAAAAATGAAACAAGATCTGTACCTCATACCATATACAAAACCTAACTCCAGATGGATCAAAGACTTAAATGTGAAACCTAAAACTATAAAGTTCCTCAAAGAAAAACTAGGGGCAAATTTAGGGGTCCTCATATATGGCGTAAATAGATTATCAAGTATAACCCAAAATGCACAAACAGCCAAAGAGAAACTAGATGAATGGGACTGTCTAAAAATCAAATTTTTATGTGTTTCCAAAGACTTCTCCAAAAGAGTTAAAAACAGAAACTACAGATTAGGAAAAAATATTTGGCAATGATATATCTGACAAGGGACTTATCTCTAAAATTTACAGAAAACTCCAACACCTTAATAGCAAGAAGACAAATAATCCAATTAAAAAATGGACAGAAGACATGAACAGACATTTCACCAAGGAGGATATTCAGGAGGCCAACATACATATTAAGAAATGCTCATGATCATTAGCCATTAGAGAGATGCAAATCAAAACAAAAATGAGATACCGTCTTACTCCAGCACTAGTATCAAAGTTCAAGAAGACAGAAAATAACAAATGCTGGCAAGGATGCAGAGAGATTTGGACTCTGATACACTACTGGTGGAACTGTAAAATGGTACAACCACTGTGGAAAGCAGTATGGCAATTCATTCAAAAGTTGGAGTTAGAAATACCATTTGACCAAGCCATTCCATTGCTAAGTATATATCCTAAAGAACTGAGAGCCATGACAAGAACAGACATATGCACACCCATGTTCATCACAGCACTATTTACAATAGCCAAAAGATTGAAACAACCTAGGTGTCCATCAACTGAGGAATGGATAACCAAACTGTGGTACATACATACTATGCATCCTAAAGAATAACCTAGAATCTGGAAAACACTGCATAACATGGATGAATTTGGAGGACATTATGCTGAGTGAAATAAGTCAAAAACAGAAGGACAAATATTCTATTAGTCCGTTATTTTAAAAATCAAGGAAGGTTTATCTATGGAAGCAAATTTGTCTGTTATCGGGGTGGGTGGGGAGGGTAGGGAACACTGTTAGACAGGTAGATAAAAGTATTGATTTGGGTGAAGAAAGGGCAATGTACCAAATATGAGTGATCAACATGGTGGTATTGAGGAAGAAGAAGACATAGACAGGTACATAGGAGGTACAGACAACAAAGATGAACCACTTTGCACATAGAGTATTCCATTGTCAGTGAAGGAAAACATGGGTATATGGGTGGATAGATGAGTAGATAGGCTGAACTATTAAGTATGGCTCTGAAGTAGGGAGTGTACCCAAAACCAGGCATAGGGTTGGCAGACAATGGTCCTAAAAGTGTATTTGTATGATCTGAATTCCCAGGTGTATAGTAGAGCTGACAAGGGACAAGGTTGTAGTCACTTCTCAGTCACAGCCAGCTACCCAGAGGGACCGAGTAGTTGAACCTGTGGGCTCGGGACCATAGTCACAGGGGCCATTAAGCTCAATTGGCATAACAAACATACTACAGAAAACACTGGTCCACCTCCTACTTTGGCAAGTAGCGAATGCGATCTTAAAAGCTTGCAAGCAGCTATCTAGATGCAATGATGGGTCTCTCCTTGTGTGGAGCAAAGAAGAATGAAGAAAACCAAAGATTCATGGAAACAATTAGTCCTTGAAACTGGTACACCAGGCAATCTACAGCCTATGTGACTATGAGACCAGAAGAACTAGATGGTGCCAGGTTACCAATGTCAACCACTCAGAGGGCCATCTATGTAAGAGATCCTGGCTAGAGAGGGAGAACAATGTGGAACAAAACTCAAAATCATTTGGAAAAAAAAAAAGGGACCAGGTTTGCTGGTCTGATAGAGCCTGGTGGAACCACTGATACTATGGTCCCTTGCTGCCCTTCAGGTCTGGAATTGAACCCATACCTGTGGTCTCCAGCCAAGCAAAAGACAGGCATAGGAGTTGAACATTTACCTGAGGTAAATACACTCCTTGGAGAGAAAAATCATGGGAGAAAGTAGGGCTATTTATGCGCAGGGAGACAGCTCAGGGGCCGGAGTGCATGGAAGGATGGACACAGGGAAGAGGTGACTGTCGGAAGGAAGTGGGAGGGGAGCTGTTGCATTGGGTGAAATATGATCAATGTTGTAAGACAAAACGTATGTGAACTGCTGTATGGAAAGCAAATTTACTCTGTAAATTTTCATACAAATCACACTTAAAAAAAAATCAAACCCCTTCTTCTTTGATAGAACACATTTAGAGTTAAAATGTGCTCTTGTGCAACACACTCATGGTAAGTAATGGGTTCATTCTGCATGTAGTCCATTAGACTTAACAACACCAGCTTCCAGTCAGCTCACCAACCTTAGCAACTGCAGTATAGTTTCCATACTCCAGAAAGTAGCTTGGAAGAGAAATAGTTTGTCTGTGGTTATCAACAGAAGGAGGAAGGGACACATGGGAGCCATCCGACTTCATAATGCTCCAGGTATAAGAAAGGCCTTGGGAAATGTCACAGAGAATGGCAGCTTCAAATGTCACTCCCAGTCTAACTGGCTGGGACCGCCATACCTAAATATTAAAAAAGAAATAACATCTCATTAAAATTCCCATTACATCTGATAAAACAGTGATTATTAAAAACTGATTATCAACTGTAAAACTCCAATTACAATGAAACCTGTGAAAGCCAGAACTCAATGGGATTGCCTCATTTCCCAGGTCTTTCAAATTCTCCAGTCGGGTGCATCTTACCACTTTTCTATAGCTCTCTGTTAGTGGAAAATATTTGAGTTTTCCTTTTCTGACAGGTTTCCACTTTATACATGTTGTGACTTTTCAAGTTTTTATTATATTTGTTTATATAATCATAGGATACAATTCTTGACGTTGGATTTTAAGAATACCAAAACAAATATTATATCTCTTTAAGAGACAAAAGAGAAAAGTCAAGATATAAAACAAGAAGAAAGAATAAGTAAATATTTATAGTTATATAATCATAATGTTGTTGTTGTTGTTGTTATGTGCCGTCAAGTCGGCCCCGACTCATAGCGACCCCTCCTTGGGTTTCCGAGGCAGTATCACTACGGCAGTAGGATTGCCCAACCTTCATAATGGAAAAAAAAAAATTTTATAATGAAATAGTAATGGGAAAATATCAAAAGAAATAATAACAGAGAGTTCTGGCAAGATGGCAGACTAGGCAGAAGGACTGCACAGACCCTCTTCAACAAAGAAAAGGGAAACCAAAAACACAGACACAGAAGATAATCTCGGACCCCTGAGCCTTGAAGGGAAGGATACAGAAGTGGACTAAACCCCAACTAGCAGAAGAATTTGCGCGAAAACACCAAAAAAGGAGACATACGGAGCTGCGGTCTGACAGCACCCTGAGCGACCCTGACGGTACAGGCAGCATGGAGATTCCCGACTGGTGCAACCCCAAGGACACTCGCAGCCTGCAAGACTGAAAAGCAACGGGCCAATGATAAAAAACCACCAAGAAGATCCTGAACCACTCTTGGCTGCTCTTCATAAACAGTTAACACAGATCTAAATACAACAACGTCACGATGCCTCGGAAACAACAGATCATCACAGTCCACACAAAGAAGAAGGATAAAGTGGTAGAAACAAGGGAGCAGGATACAGACCCAGAACACATCCCTGAGGAAGAAGCAGCAT